ACCTGCAGGCATCGTTAGCTGGCCATGATGGGGATGATAGAGGAGATGGGAACAGTGACTGAACTCCGACCTTATCGATCCAGCCACCTCCACCCAGCTGAGTTGCTGCGGCCCAGTCAGCTGAAAAGGAATTTAGAGGGCAGTCGTCTCCCCTGCTCAGCCCTGCTGTCATTAATAACGTTTTCACCCGCGACAGTGATAAACACGCGGTACTTGAGGAGAGTTTATTAAGGTCAGTCCATAAATAAAAATTAAAATTTAAAAAAATGGGTTTACACAGATGAACAGATGGATGGATAAAGTGATTGGTAAAACAATAAATATGAAAATAGACAGACGGATGGAGGACCTGGCAGCAGCTCTCTAAAAGCCCGATGCCTCAAATACCTCCAACGTTGTGCCAGGCCCTTCTCTCCCATCTGATAAAAGCAGATTTAATGAAGCTCCTTCAAAACTTATAGGTTTTGTGGATCTATGGCCTGGCTAATATTTTGTCATTTAATGCCTATTCTCCAGCCTGATAAAAAGGATTGCAGCCATTTCTCTATGTCAGGTGTATAACTGAGTGCTACTAAAATTTAAATGTCTTATCTGGCCTTGGATTTAAATGCGGATGGCCTTAAACTTTGGAGTTTCTCTCAGTGCAAGATGGTGTACAATGTGATGGCTGACTTCTTTTTACCATTCTCAAAGAGATGGGGATTTGTATCTCTAGTGGATTCAGGCTGCCAGCAAGCAAATATTCTTATTCATTTCCAAAATCTGAACGTCCATCTGAAAAACAGACCCCAGAATCCCAATAACACTTCAGCCCCATCATCTCCTGAATGCTGGCAGGTCTCTGTGGTGTAAAATTACATATATATATATAAAAACAAAACAAAACAAGTCCGCTTGATCCAAAATTTCCTTGGGCAGAACGTGACAGGTTGCTGTCATGCAAACTAAATTATTAATTTTATCCTCAGTTTAGCATTGTTTGAAAGCTAAGCAAACCTTGGGAAGGAGAAAAATTCATTGCGTTTTTGTGTAATTTTCACAGTATTTGATTCTGTGCAGGCTGTAGGTGGCAGAGTGTGAACAGGAGGGGAGCACTGCTTAGAGACTTGTACATTCATTAAGGGTAAGCACTTGAATGAGATTCAAGACCGTAGGCCTTAAGTTTGCAACATCTCAAAGAGCCTTAATTGTTGCCTTTGGTTAAATATTTCAAAACCGTTACTTAGATCATTACAATTATTGATCCTTTATTATGCCTTCATTCCTTGATGGCCAGGCAGCAACATTAACTTGCATTAAGCAGGCCAGCATCATGTGCATCATTGTTTGCTGCAAATGAAGATTTTGAATGCTGAATCCGAACGTCAGCTTGGGACTCTTCCAGCCTGAGCATGCCATCAATTTCCATGAGAAGCAGCTGCCTAAGTGAAATGGATGAGAAGAGGGTGCCCAGCGCCTCGCAGGAGCAGCAAGACTCTTTGCATGATTTGGTCCTTAGGAAGCAATTCAGTCCAGTAATGAAGAGGTGATGGGGCACAAAACTACTGTTAGTTAAATCCAAGTTTAACTGGAAGAAGCCAAGAGGATTGCAGGTCCCTAATGAACAATCAAAAAGGTGGTTAGGATTGTGCAGAGCAGCTGTATTACTTAAAAATAAGCAACAGTTAGGAGAATAATGGCTTTCAGCCAGTCGTCAAGTAGATTACCCCTGGAAAGCTGAATGGCA